ACTTAATTGTAACAAAGATCTTCTAAGATATGTCATTTTCTATGAAAACAAAGATATTACAATAATTTATCAATGAAGAAAATATTTTATATATTCTAATAAAAACACAATTACTTGTCAGTAGAAAATTGTTTCATAAATTAATTAAGGGGATGCTAAACCGATTACCGAACTCGATCAAGGTCGATAGTACAGACTTTTTTTAATTCCAAATTCGATAATAGTGATGACATCTTTGATTCAGTTTTTATATTATATTATATAATATATATATTGTATTATATATATATATTATACATTCTATAAAAAATTATAAAATATATAATTATAATATGTACATATATGCACATATATCCAGATAACATTTACGTTGCATAAGATATCTAAAAGATGTCTTTTAGATGTCTTATGTCTAAAAAATGTCTAAAAGACGTCTTTTAGATATCTTATGCAACATGCATGTTATCTGGGTATATACATCTATATTAATTTATGTGTCTGAATCATTCCATCGTTTGTGTATGCGATAGTTGAACACGTATGGCAATTTGTGGGATATATCCATGACGAGTATTGGGCAAACTGTTATAGCGGTATGGCGATAACTCGTACATTTGCGCCTTTTAATTTTTACAAAGGATTTTTTCAACAACGGCAGCACGTATAAGAATTTTAGAGTGATGTTTTTATTCGTGACAAAAAATTGATTTAAAATAACTTAAAATAACAGTCACTCACTTTTTAATCCGAAAAATATAAATTTGCAAAGTCAAGCGTTTTAATTAACTTGTCGATTACTGGGCCAACTATCTTAATATAAATAAATATTATTTATATTACATGATCAATAATTGCATCTAATAGCATGTTTATAATTAATAATACGTATTCCATATACTTATCCATATACATATTATATATCTATATATATACATTTTTTTCTTATATAGATATTATCTAAGTTATGATTACTATGATATTTACCTGATTGATGGAGAAATCATAGGAGTTCCTCGACTAACTGGAAATTCTACTGATGGGTATAAATTGGCAACTTGTGGCTGTAAACCGCAATTGTACAGATTTCCAAGTCCTTGTAGAATTATATTAATATTTTTTTCGGTTCGTCGTGTTAATACTAAGTTTGTCACGTTTAGAGGTAAAGAGCCTGTCAAAACGTAATGTAGAACATCGTCTAGTGCGATTTCGATGATCACAGCGTTACTTGGAATTTCGTCGTTTGTGAAAAAAGGACTGTGTTTAATATACTTCTAGTGTGATAGTCTGCCGATGATAACTTTGATGTTGAAGTAAACCATTTGGTGCGAGGTATAGAAGTGCTGATCCACTTTGAACTCCGTTTTTTTGGGCATGGTATTATTTTATTTAAACTAAGTAAAAGCTGACTTTCGACGAATGCAACGTAAGAACTGTGAAACGGTATGTTGCAGTTGATCTTCTTCACATAAATATTGTTGACCTGATTATAAAAGAATGTAACACATGCAGTTGTAGCAGATTATGGCATAAAATTAACTTTTCAATGCTTTAAAAATTTGAGTATTTTTTTAATCCACTAACTTATATGAGCTATTTTTAATTCTACCTGTAATTTTTTCATAAATTCTTTTATGGATTCTTTTGGTCCACATACGACGTTGCTATTCTCGCTATTGTAGCACACTATTTCAATGTCCGCTGGACATATATTTCTAACATACTCATGATTGATATTAACAACCGCCATCGAGCTATGAATTATTTTTTCTTCGGCACATGCCAAACCGATAAAGTATGCTGATAAAATAGTTTGTTCAATAGTGAGACATTTATCTGCGTATGCACAACCAAGTTCACCAGCAGAATGACTAATTATGTAATCGGGAGTAATTCCTAAGGATGTTAGGAGATCTACTAAGCCAATCTACAAACATATATATATATATAATTTTATAGGTGGACACTTTATATATGTATAATTCCCATTATTGATGTAATAATAAAATGTGATGAAACATATTCAGTTTCATTCTAGTCTCAAAAAATATTTTATTATAGTGTTTTGGAAAGCTCTCGAGATAAGCTACAAGAATATGTTATTCTTATGAAGAATAACAACATTAAGGTGAGGAAAAAGGACACCTAAATAACTTCTGAACGGTTCGGGATAGAGGATTGGAGTTTATGATGCAAATGGCTTAATAAAATCTATCATTTAATACAAATAAACCCCCATTTTAACCCCCCCAGAGGGGGGAAGGGGGGCGGAAAAATCTTAAATTGTATTCCTCGCCGTGAGTCCTCCGCTACTGCGAAATCTCAATGTTTAAATGATCATAACTCTGCGAAAAAAAATCGCAGAGACCTGAGACACCACGTGTTGATCTCGTCTCTTGGAAGGCCCTTTCAAACGAGCCCTCACTCGACCCCACATGCAATTTAAGATTTTTCCGTCCCTCTCTTTCCCCCACCCCCGGCGGTGTTAAAATGGGCGTTTTTGGTATTAAATGATAGATTTTATGGTGCCATTTACATCCCTATAAACTTCAATCCTCTATCTCGAACCGTTCAGAAGTTATTTAGGTGTCCCGATACTTTTTCCTCACCCTATACAGGGTTGACCCATTTTAACCCATTTTAACTTAGACAGCCAAATAACTCGAAACATCGCGATTAAATAAAAAAATGTTTAAAACAAAAATTGTTGGATATGAAGGGGCTGATTGA